GTGAAGAGACTTGAGATTGAAAAACTCCATCGTGTGATGGCAAAAAGTACTGTCGTTGGCAAAAAAATTGACGTCTCTCCATCCCTCTCTAGGAAAAACCAATAATAATCAAACATCAAGTGTAAAAAAAATAGTCATGTCTAGAGAGTGAAATGCTCGGATGCCATGGAGAATAGCAACAGAGCAAAGCCACTGAATAGGATGCCAGCCTGCACTGTGTGAAACCTCACTCCTCCAAGCCTTTACCGAGGGTGCATGCCGCTGATTTGGTGGCCCGGCCTCCCAAGCCGTTGAGTCCGTGGCGGCGCAGCTTCGAAGCCCCAAGTAGGCGGGGCTTGGACTACGTAGAGGTCAACCGACGTCACAACAAACAAAACGCCCAACAAAACAAAAATCTTGATTTATCGGTCATTGGATTTTAAACTTCAGCCGTTCAGCACATTAAATTGCATCAAAATGAAACATTTTGTTCAAACTCTTTATCAGTGTCATTCTGAACAGTATTATCATGATAAAGGGATCATTTTTAACAAAGCGCTTGTATATCAAATCATAAAAGTGTACCTCCACTTGTGGCCCTGTCTTCTTATAATTTCACTTCTGTCTTTCGGTTTTCTTGATCATCACTTCCTTCCTTCCTGAAGGCCTTCTGGCATCTGTCTTCCACTCTTCCTTCCCGTGGGAATCATCTTTCCTTTTATCCCTCTTCCCACCCTCTCCTGTCGTGTTTTGTCCGTGTTCTTCCTTCCACGCTGTCTCTTTGTATACATCTTTCCCCCTTTGCTTCACAGGTGACTTCCAGCTGTTCTACAATAGAGACGCCATCAGTTGACAATTTCCTTTGTCACCCTGTATTTGACTCATCTGCTTTCTTCCCATCATTTCAGCTATCAATACTTTTGTTCTGCCCCACAAAATAGGAAAACAGAATTACTTGAATACAAATTAGATGCATAAATAATTGAAGCATTAATGAGCAAATGCTGATATGAATTCAAACATTTAAATCCCAGCACTTGGCAATGGTAGTGCCCTGTTGACTAGTTTTACTTAGTCATTAACTTCTCTTTTTCAGTTATTTGCAACATTTCCTTTCATATCAAAATATTTTGTGACGGCGACAGTTTAGGCCTGAACAAAAATCATGTTATCCACTTTACATTATTTCCTATGGGAACATTTGTTTTGAAATTAGAACAATTTATAAGTCAGCCAGCCCTCACAGAACCGGCTGTGTATAGTGTTAATCTCACTCAGTACTCATTTATTCTTATTGGTGCACCTTTTGAGCCCTGGAAAAAGTACATAAATTGCATTTTCAGTCCAACAAAAAGTCCTCTGTACTGCATTAGTTTACATCAGTGATTCTCAATCACTGTGCCACAGCACATTAGTGTGCCATGAGAAGTCACGTGTGCTGCTTGCATGAGTTCCAATTTCACTTAATTGGTCTGAAAAGTATTTATTGACTACAAGTAATCTCTATTTCATATGCAGTAGCTATGCGAGCTTTGTGACAGGCAGAACAATTAACGGTTGTTTTGGTAGATGGTAGAAGGTCAAATTAATCTGTGCATTATATTCTGTGCATTCACCTTACAACATAAGAGTGGTCGATCGATTTCACACGAAGTACATTTGTGAGTAAACTCAGATGAGATCATCATTATTCAATTCAATATAATATCGATGACATTTTTGTTTGGTGGAATATTGAGATTTTTTTTTTAATGCAAAAAGTATTTGTATCGCCTCAAGATTTGAGTTTATTTCATTCCGTGATCACATCCCTCACTCGAAACACTCCTGTACAGTAGTTTAAATAATCTCTTCCCACTAAAATTAATGGAACAGCCATTCACCCTTCAAAAAAAAAAAAAGAAAAACATTTTTGCAATGTGTTTTATTAATAAAGAAAATAGCCCTGTGTAATATTGCACTTTAAAGACTTTATGCATCATGAGTAATTGGTTGCTGCTTCTGATGTGTGCGTGACTTGCCCTTCGGAGGTTAGTAGAATGCAGGCAAGTAGACAAATTGAAGAATTTCGCCCCTTTTGTGACTGGCACTGCATGTTGTTCATTTTCTACTGCGGATAAAGAATATATTGCCCATTTGGATGAAAAGATATTGTGAGTCTATATCTGTTGCTTGATTTGTTGTTTCCTGTTACGTGTTAGCATTCATCCAAGTGGACTATAAGGCAAGGTTACGTGTAATTCACATTGTTTCATGTTTAATTTGACAGTTAACTTCAACTGGGAGCGGGATTAAACAACTGCTGCTTGTTGTGAAATGAGTTGAGTTCAATGTCACAATACAGCGCGAATATCTCAAATGTTTGCCTGCACGTCAATGCAAAAAGTCATCCGAACGACGGCTCGTATCTTGAAAAACTCCCAAATCAGGTTAGTCGGATCCCAATGCAGCGCTGTGTTTGCACTGCTGCACAGTGAAGGGATGACGTTTCCATTTTTAAAAGTAGGGCAGGTTACCAAATTAACTGATCTGCACTCCACCACTTTGTCACCCTGATGTTGGGCTGGTGACTGAAGTATTCTGGAGGCCATGCTTTCCTGCGTGTTACTTGTTGGATTGGCCTGCGTGATTATGACAGAAGCCAAACAATGGTTAACCCTAATGGTGTTGTTGTTTGTGCAGGTTGAGATATGACTTTGTAACTACTTCTCCACGAAACTGTAAATTTACTGCACGGCTAACACAGTCAGCATTAACACACATGAATATCTTTCACTGTCCGTTAGTTTGACTTTTTAACATAATGACATTTTTTAACATCTCTTCATGTTCGGATAAAACATTTTCACAAAATGTTAAGGGCTGAACTAATTGCAATTTATTTATTTATTTTTTATTTTCCTCCCACATATTACGATTTATTATGCGATTATATTTTTGAAGGTTATCTTCATGTGTTTTTTTTTTTTTTTTAACAAATGCAAGCAATACATTATTCTGTATCACTGGTACAATAAATGATATCAAATTGATTATACTGTACATACCATTTACACATTTTTGGTTTTATAGGTTCGGTTTAGGCTAAAATAAAGGCAAATGTTTATGTCGCTAACAAATGGTAGATAAGGGTGCATTCATTGGAGAATTTATCCCATGAGCATGTCTACTCTTTTATTACCTGTCCCACACTCACAATATACAGCACCATTCATACATCATTCCCATTAATAAGCACTGGAAGTTATCATCGCGATGTATATACGACCTGAGTCATGCAATCAATGCTGTCCTGCTGTCCGTGGCTAGGGTTACCTCTTCTACTCTGGTGCCAGGGAAGTGTAATGTCCTTTACACGAGTCAAACGGAGCACACTTCAGGTGTCATATGTGCATATCCATCCGCCCATTTTTTTTATACGGCTTATCGTCATTGGGGTAACTTGCGAGCTGGAGCCGATCCCAGTGAAATTGCCGTTGTGAGTGATGGCACTCAAGGTGAGAAAAGACAAGCAATCACCAGTCACTGGCCTGGCATGCATATTACATCATTTTTAGTTGCTTTTGGAGCCCCTTGAGAATGAGGTTCCTTCATGTTGCTTTTGTCTGAAACGGAATCTTGAACAAAAGATGAAGTGGTGCCTTGATATCAGAGTTTAATCTGTTCCTGACCTTACTCCAAACAAACTGCAAATCATCTTTTCCCATTGAAATAAATGGAAATGCCATTAATCCATTCCAGTCCGCCAAAAACGCAACAAAAATGTTTGTAATGTTTAAAAATAAAAGCAGCGCTCCAAAATGTTTTTTTTTTAAATAAAAAACATACACTAATGCAAAAAGTAATAATTTCTGTAATTATTACTTTTTGCTTCAATTCAGTGGTTATTTTGCTGCTCCTTCAGGTGTACACGGCTTCGCCATATGAAGGGCAGTATAAAACAGACATATGGATATACGTACATGTAGATAGTCCTCAGTAAGCTGCAGTTTTGCGACATGGCTCAGAGGTAGAGTGGTCGTCTCCCAACCCAGAGGCTGGGGTTCAATCCCTGGCCGTTGGGCTTTGAGTACCAAAGGTAGAAAAGCACTATGTAAGAGACAGCCCATTTACCATTTTATGGAGAGGATAAAGAATATATATTCTTGTCTATGTGTTGCTCAATCTATTGTGTTCAAAAATCCGTTGCTTCGACGCTGCCACATGGATGCTATTTGTTTGCCCACCTATGACATTTTTACAAGACTTAATAGGCAAAATTATTTGGCTGTTTTAGACACAATGTTTTGCTTGGTAGCTGTCGCATTACTTTCGCCTGTTACTCTTGTTGCAGTTGCTAACTATGGGGGAAGTAATTCCCCTGGAGTCTGACACACTTTCCCAGCCTTCTTTGCCATACCTACATGCACTCCTGGATTCTTTCAGGGTACTTCGCAGCCACCGCGGCCACCGCTCTCCCAACCCCATGGTCGACATCAATGTATTAGATGCACGTCGATCGGCGAATCAATAATAGATTATTATGCATGTTGAAGGGGCATCCTGCTGGGATCGAGCGATCATATACTTTGAAGAAAGGTCTGTAATATGACGCCCCGGGCATCTACAGAGCTTCTACTGTGCCATGCTCCTGGCAGGGATGTTGCTCCAGCATGGATGGCTATGTCCTTCTTGATCAGGAACTGTCAGGTGCTCAGGGCATCGTGAGCAGCCACGACTGCTTGCGCACTGAATCAAAATGCCGCAGGGGTCTCTTTGGGGACATGCCGGTCGTTTGTCTGACCCACTTTGAGAGAGAAAATTTGTAGTTTGGGTTTGAAATATAAATTTTGTGACCCCAGTCGTGGAACTTTTCAGACACAGTTCACACTTGCATGACTGTGTAGTTCATTTTACTGTATGTTTGTGTGAAAGGTCTCTCTACTCCCTCCTTCCCTCTCTGTCTCACTCTCGCTCTTTCTCTCTCTTTCTCGCTCTATCACTTGCCCTCTCTCTCCTGCCTCTCAGTCGTTGCTGCTCAGTGTGCTGTGAGGACCTAGCGAGCATCATTTCTCTCCTCCGTTCTCCTCTCCTCACCTTCACTGAGCCACTCCATCCCTCCTCCTCCTCTGCTATGACATCTCACACCAGCTGCGCGCTGCCTCCGCCAGCCCGACGCTGCTCATCCAACATGGACATGTGCGCCTGGAATAGCCGCGATTGATCCTCGGGTGGCGTTATTTTTTTGTTTAGTGTTTTATTTCGCTTTTTGAAAACATATAACAACGCAAGAAGAAAAGAAGGAGGGGGGGCGGCTGTCATCTTTAACCCCCCTCCGCTCCCTTCAGCCAAGCAGAGCGGCAAGGTGGGGGGAAGGCTTGCAGCCAGCTCGGATTTATTAAACGGCAACATGACGGATTTGGAGATGCCAATGATGGTGGTGAAGCGGAGGAGGCTGATGGTGAGGAAAATGGCCCGACTAAGACTCGACCTCTCACTTCTCCTGACGGGGCTCCTCATTGGGGATTTCTCCTCCTCCGGGGGTGAGTTCTTAAGTGTCTGTGTATGTGTGAGTGGTTAAATAATCGGATGGCACAAGTAAACGTGAGATCGTGCCTAACTTCTGTGCGTGCTTGTTCTGCATAGCGAGTCCCCCTCCCAAAAAACATGTACATGATTAGAAATGTGTGTGTGTGTGTGTGTGTGCGTGTGTGTGCGTGTGTGTGCGTGTGTGTGTGCGCAGTGCTCAACAGGGCTGAAGTCACATTCGCCTTAATTGCATCAAAGTAGTTCAAAAATGAATCATTGAAGACTTCAGCCCTCACTCCGTGCCGTTACCCCAAATGTGCACCTCCACTCTGGGGGCTGTGATGAGGGGCATCTCATTTTATCATATACGAGAGTCAAACTTGCACTCCGAGGGAAAGTTGGTTGTCATGTTCTGGGAGTTTGTCTCTGTTGCTGCGGAGATTCCCTGAAAGGGGCTGGATGCTGCGCGTCTGCAGGCCTGCAGCGGTGACGCTGCTTGCTTGTCGCGCTGGTGGGAAGTTGGTGACCAACATGGATGCAGCTCAGTGGGAGTAAAGTGTTAACATTCTCCTTTTGGTGCAGGGAGCTGACTTGTCTTCGTCAATGGCTTCTCTGTCCTGTGCCTCGCCAACTCCATGCCTGTCACTGTCAGCCTCTTTCACACGGATGCACAACCTGTCACAAAAGCTTGCCACTGTAGGACCGGTTTTATGTATCTGTGTATTGATGCTGGGTTAGCTTGTGTGTTATTTTTAACTACATATGCACTGACATACATGCAATGTGGAAGTAAAATGGTTTGAAGAGACTAACTGTGCATTTTGTTGGGATGCAGTAAGAGCAGTAAAATTATCATCCCTTCTGCTTTTCAGAGTGACACAACAAACAGGATGCCTTGTTTCTTGGTCAGTGGGGATTCAGTCAGTTTTAATCCACCTCTTAATACCTCCAAAATCTCCTTGCAATTATAATAAACATCAATACGATACAAAACCACAAAATAAGAGCATGTAACTGTACCACGTACATCCGGAGCAGTTCAGAATCAATATTTATCCACAATGACAAAAAACAAAACAAAAAAAAAACAAACATCAAAATAAATCCGTCATACTCAAAAGGGATGCTAATTATTAAATGTACAAAGTCAAAGTTGGCTCTAACATTTCCCCTGACCAATTACTCAGAGGAAGGAAAAAAGATGACATCATCGAGGTCAGACACTCTGGGCTTATGAGGACAAATTTCAAATCTGAATGGTTCACGAACCGGTCCCATTTGTTAATATAAATAGAGGTTACATGGCCCAGAAACGTAGACCGAAATCTGAAAATCTGGACAAAAAAATTCCAACATTCTGATAAACTGGAAGTATTTCAGTCAAAAGCAACACTCCGAAATCAAGGCAATATATCACTGCAATTTCATGGAGCAAATAACCAACACTGACTTGTTCCGGCTGCATGTGCAGCAACAACTACAGTGGCTCAGCACATGATTGGAGTGCTACTGGTCCACCAGCCTAGAGGGTGCTAATGCTAGACTTGCAGAGACACATCACTGCATGTATGAAATGGACATATTGACAATCATGTTGCCGATTCGTTTAAGCGGTTTAGGAATTAAGCAACTTCTGCCATCCGGTCATCTGTGATTCATCTCCAGTCTATGCACATATTCCCCCGCACCCAACATTGCAAAGCCGAACAAATAAGATGGTCAGATAATGTTCTATATTTTGACATACAACAAAAAAACTAAAGTGAGGTCAACTCATTGCACTATTCTGCAGTAGATCATCATCTTCATTGACTTATTTAAGAGTTACACACCAAGGAATGGACTGAAAGGAAATTAAAGGGCAAACAGACATCTGGAAAGGCAGAATGGGGTTGGCAATAATTTATTTTGTGTGTCCGCAAATCCCAGATGGTTGCCACCTTTAAATGTGGATGATGCACTTTAAATTCAAAGAAACTAATTATTGATCGTCTGAAAATGTCATTTAAAATGTTATGAAAAGTCACGAAACTGTAACAATCTTGGTGACATTAAAATGCGGGGATAAGAAATGATCAAATGTCAAAATTGATTAAGATAATTCATATGATAGTGACATATAATTATGCGGGTTATTATATATTTTTTTCAGTTGTTAAAAAGTAGGTACACTGTAACACTACATCCATCTGTCCCTGCCTTACTAATACTCAACTCAATTTATCGAGGACTTTAAAAACAACCAGTGCTGCATACAAGTAAATATTAGTCATACAATAACATTGACAGTTAAAACTGTAAATTATTATTTAAAAAAAAAAAACAGTAAAGTCTCATGCTGCATTTAAAGCCATAGAATAAAAATGGGTATTAAGACAAGTTTAAAAACCGTAAAAACGGTAGTTTTATTGCATATCGAGCTTCTTCAAACGCACACACACTACTTGCTAATTTAAGGTGAAAACCAACAATGCCAAGACACAAAGTGACAATTAGCCGACACTGAATCAATGTCAAACAACAAGACATTGCAAAATGTCCCCCCCCCCCTGTGTGTAGCTCCACTGGTATACTAATTTCACACATGGGAAACACACCGTTCCTGTCGATGAGAAGACAACTGAATTAAAAGGAACTTCAGTCAACACACACAGCTACAGCGAGACAATATGGAGGAATGTTTGCATCACTCCATGTCCTCACATTAACAATTAATGAGGCAGACTTCTTGTGAAAAGCAAATCTCGTCTCATTTGATGTATGGATTCAATATTCGAGATCAGTCTAGGACATACCCATAACCCATGTTAACGTCATGATATGACAAAGTCGTTGTGGTGCCAGATTATGTGGCGGACAGCTCTCACACTCTGGACAAGGGGTTTGTCTCCTACTTACCAATATGATGTAAGTGTGCAGTGAACTCCTATCAGCAGTTCTGTCATGTCCAACTCACAGTACATCCAAAGCTTGTAACAATACACACATGGAAACCCAAGTTTTTATATTCTCGGATAACAAACCTGTGTCGTCCTTGAAATGGAAGTAACTGGGCACGCCCCCTTCCAACCACCAGAATTTGTGCATCCCAGTCACATACAGCCTTATGAGATCATAATGCAAACAAAGATAATGTAATATGTATTATTTAAATTTAATTAAAATAAAAAAACAGAACTGCGATTAGCTGGCAAGCAGTTCAGGGTGTACCCCGCCTAGTGCCCGAAGACAGCTGGGATAGGCTCCGGCATGCCTGCGACCCTTGTGAGGATAAAGCGGTTCCGATGATAATATATATATGATATACACTAATTGTGTGGGAAACTTTTTGCATGCAATGATGAATGGCTCTCTCAAACATATTGCTGCTTCATACTGGCTTTCAAATGAGAGAGTGCTTTGACAGAAGTTTTAAAAGAGCCTTGGCCTACATACAGTAGATTATAACGTAGGATGAGATGGTGGAGGGAGGCGAGAGTGTGTTTGTGTGAAGACAAAGCGAGCGAGAAGAAGAATGCGAGCAAGAGAGATTGGGACGGAGCCACAGACAAAGTGAAGGAGAAAATGAAAATGTATTCCTCAGCAGACGCGATTAATCACAAACGACTTTTCCATCTTGTGCTGCTCTGCTAGCAATGTCTGGAATTAAATAATGACATCATAATGCTGTCCATTCTGAATTTATATGTCTGATTTGTCAGGAAATATTGCCTCTCGCGTCCGTTGATATTGTTGTCAAGGTACAAATGTTTAAGGCTGTCAGTGCTGTTGACAGCCGGCAGATTCTGTTGTGTATATGTTCACTGAAACCCAGCAACTGTATATCATCAACATATGCTGACATTGAATGTCGGAGTGCAATGTATCGTGCTGATAAAAGGGTTGGTGAAAATCCAATTTTTGAACTTCACCTCCAAGTCTTGAGGATTGTGTGCAGTATATCTAGTTGCATATTGCAATCCATGATCATCAAATACTCTAATTGGTCTAAATTGATAATAATAATCATACATAATAACAACAACAATACATGTGCTTTGAATAGCGCTTTCATAACTACTCAAAGTTGCTTTACAAAAAAAAGTAAGACGAGAAGGAAAAAAATGGTAGTGTGCAAAAGTGATAGTGTGCTCGGTTCAATTTCTCAACTTGGCTTACCCTGTTAAGCCATTCTTTGCCAGCCATTTTCAAAGCTGAGCTTCCTGGATTGCCAGATGTTAACAAGCATTTCGACGGATGTTTCAAGACCCACAGAATATTGTGTTCTTTGACAATATAAGCACCGAACTGACCAAAAGAAATAGCAGACTTCCCTCGTTCACCATTCATAAGTAATCGGCATGAAAACATTTTTCCTAAAAAACCCAGTTAGTGACCATAAAGCGGAGAAATTAGCTTTTTAAATTTTTTTGGAGTGAACAGAATCATGTGGCTTTTACGTTCATATTGTTTGCTATTGTGACACCTCAAAATATAAAACAACAAATACAACGCTGGGAAATGGCCTCTGGTTTGCAAAGTAATACCGTAATTTCTGGACTATAGACCGCACCTGATTATAAGTCGCACCACTACATTTTTAAAGGAAAAAAATATTTTGTACACACATAAGCCACACCTGTGTATAAGCCGCAGGTGCCCATATTGTAACATGAGATATTTACAAAGAAAGACGGTAGAAAAGTCTTTATATAAGCCGCTTCATGAAATAAGCCGCAGAGTTGAAAGCGTGTGACAAAAGTCGCGGCTTATAGTCCGGAAATTACGGTAATTTATTTAAAGAGTTGAATATCCATCCTCATTCAGTCCATGAACTACACAATTAGGAATCACAAACCCGGGTGCTTCAGGAATCTTGTTGATGGTCTGGTGGCAAATACAGGTTTGATGCTCCAAGATGTAATTAATCAACTGCACTCATCAGAAATCTCAACTCATAAATAAACAAATAATCAACTAATCGGTTATAGCGCCCATCCCTATTGGATTCTCATACTCACTGAAATTTAACAGA